GGTAAACGACTTTGTGCTGTGGCTGATGCGGATCAGGCAGATTCGCTGGCGGAGTTGTTGGCGGTGGACAGGGCTGCACCGTACACCGAGGCGCTAGGTGTTTGGGAACACGGAGGTGTGAAGATCGCATCTGTGTTGCAGCGGTGTTTGTACCCGAGTGCACGTAGGACGCCCGACCCACAGCTGAGTGCTTATGTTTTTCTACTCCTCGGATGTACCTTGTTTCCGGATAAGAGCGGCGGAAACAAGCTCAGGCCACGCGACATCGTAGAGGCGTGTGACCCCGACAGTGTAGGCCAGTTTTCCTGGGGATCGGCTACGTTGGCGTATTTGTATCGCCAACTAGGATTTGCGAGTCGGGCTGACGCGGCAGGTATCACTGGGTGTCTGACTCTATTGCAGACTTGGATATACGAGTATTTTCCTGCATTGCGACAACATCGTGACCCAGTTCCTATTGATGAGGGGATGCCGCGTGCTTGTGCGTGGAGTCCCCGCTCGGAGAAGAAGTCCATTGACCGCCTCCGATCGATACGGTTATTGCTGGACAGGCTGTCCCCCTTAGAGGTAACGTTTATTTATAGAGTCTACATTTTATTATTTGCACATATTATATTCATGTTATTATATTTTATATGTTGTAATTGTACAGGTGAACTGGATGCCTTTCGGCCCGAACCCTAGTGTTAGGGTACCCAGGACCCTGTACACGGGACTCATTCAGTATCGTGACATCGTCGAAGCGTACATGCCCCAGCGTTGTCTTCGCCAACTTGGATTTGTCCAAGTTGTCCCTCCTCCCCCGGCGTGCCCGATGAAGGCGGTCCGACCTGCATCGTCGAGGGAGTACGTCGTGGAATGGCCGGATATCATGACCGGGACGTGGGACCAGTTTCCGATGGTGGCTCGATTATGGACAGCGGAGTTGCAGCGGCCGCCCTCTGGGGTTACTCCCATGTGTGACCATTACTACATGGAATGGTTCAACCGGTATTCGCACCCGAGGTTGATCGCTGATCTCGACCACAGCGATGATGATTATGTGCCACCGCCTACTGCCACGGAAGCGGTATGTCTTTTATTATATTTATCGTTGTCTTTTAATTAAGTTTTATTTGTTGTTATTGTATTTCATCTTCTGTTTTTTGTTGTATGCAGTGGATGGGAAAGATAATGCAAGACGTTCAGAAACTCTCTCTTGAGAAGGACAGCATGAGTGCAACAGGGAGAGCTGTTGTTGATAGTCTGGAACAGACCCTTGCGCAGTGGGAGTCGTCGTCGAGGAGGGATTACTGATGGTTATTGTATTTTATTTATAGAGCATTATGTTGGACATTATGTTGTAAAATTGTAACATTTTAGATTGTTCTTTTAGCTTCCAACTTAAACATATTATCAGTGCTGTTTTTAAATTTTGATATAACCGTTCGTGGATCCGCGCAACTTACCCATGCAACATATAGAATGCAGTAAGCAATACAATATAAAATATTAATGTTCTCATTAAAAGAGCAACGTACAAATAAGATTACAAATAAAGAATGTAAACAAGAAAAACTAAAATGCAGCTAGGGTGTTCCATTCGTGGATCCGGTCATTATATAGCGCATCCCAACCCTCTACGCTCGCTGTGCGAATGTTGTACCACCGAGGTATAATCGGTGGCACCGGAAAATCGGTTGACATGTCTAGTCGGATGAAATGTCTGTATGACGACCCAAGAAACGCAATAGCTAGCTCTCTGACCGGTGTGGTGACAGTCTCACGCGACCGCCAAGGGAGAACCGTGGTACAAGGATAATAAGCTTGACTATGCACTCCCAGGCCGAAATGCATGACTGCGCATTTGTAAATGTTTGCAACGGCAAACAGATCTAGGGGCGCGTCAAAATAATGATTTTCGCCGCAAGGTCCACCTCCCCACCGGATACGCCGGAGAGCGCCATCCAAGTCATCCTGGTACACATGACGATAAACATTTCGGTTAGAGGCAATTTCGCTGTACATCAACTCACGCACCAAACCGTAGTTGTCTTCGCCCATTTGAAAAACATCAGCCACGACCCGGAATCCGCAGTTACCATCTCCGATTACATCATTCCACCCTTCCACGTACGACATGATGATCGCAGGTATCCTTTCCTTGTACGGAAACTGATCAACATCGTTTCTTCCTATTCACCAAATAATTAATTATAGACAGTTAAGAAGACAGGAGTAACACTTTAAAACTATGTGCAATAAAAACAACCAAAACGTACCAGTTCTCAGGGGCATATTCACAGACGATGAAGATTGACTACGACTAGATGACGATGTCCGACCACGAGAACGACCACGACCACGACCACGGATATACTCAAACGCACTCCTGTTCCGCCGCTGTCGACCTCGAGGACGGTCAACTCCTTCGGGTTCCTCATAATCTAAGTTAGACGGGTGGAACATGTCATGAAGCACATGAGTAGCGTCACGAATAATAGAAGGATGGCTGGAGGACACTCGGTCGTACATCGAACGGAACTGCTCCAACTCTTCCTGTTCACGGTCGGCCGTTTGATTGTCTGCATGCTCACCAATAACAAGCGTCCTCCAGAATGAATGGACCTGATCAACATGTAACGACGCCCTTTCTTCTGTAATAACGCGATGAATGGTGCATGCGCAAGGTAATCCATGAGTTACTGAAATAGTACACCCACACCGAGTATACACTTCGTCAGCCAAGTCCCTCACCCTGTTCAGCTCAGTGAGAATCAACCCCAAGCAGTAGTGCGACACACGACCATGGAGAATCTTAAATATAAAATGGCTATACATCGTACCATGTCGTCGTCTGGAGTCCTCTAGAGAGTTCCTGATGTCGTTCTTCTGAGTTTCAATTGACTTGTTCAGTCTAGCGAACAGTGTATCCAAAGCAGCGGTCGATGAATCAATCCAGTCCTTGGTAGCTCTATGAGCGCTCTCAACTCTACATGTTGTAGTGTTCCCAAAATGAAGTACCTGGTTTGTCCAATATTTGACAAACTTTTCCCTGTGAGGGACCCATTAATGCATCACATAGTCCACCAGTGCCGGACACCACTGGTACGAATCCCTGAAGTTAGCCAATGCTCGCTCATACGCTTCCTCTGTGGTAGCCTGTAGGATCTTCCGCCACTTACCATTCACCAATCTCTCTGCCATTTCCAAATTCTTCTTGAAAAGGTTGTAGGCTTTCACTTTCACGCAGTTGTTGATGTGCCATGTGCACAATAAGTGGTTCGATTCGGGAAACAGCTCTGCTATGGGGGCAAAGAGACCTCCCTCACAGTCGCTGACGATGGCTGCTGGATGAACATTAGGCCCGATGTAGTTTCTCAGCTTCTCCAAAACCCAATAATAACTTGGAGCCGTCTCATCCCTGATGATTGCATGACCAATCAGAAAGTTCTGGTTCGTTGGAGCCATCCCAACCATCTCAACCAGAGGGAACTTGTACTTGTTTGTCTTGTACGTTGAGTCGATCAAAATCACAAATGGCCAAGACTTGATCATATCAGCACAATCAGGATGCACAAGGAAAAGATGAGTCACCCCCGCTGTATCTTCATCAGAATCAAACCAGAACAGGTAACCACGTGATTGTGCCTGGTGTAGCAGCTGCTGTATAGGGTTCCTTCCCTCTGACCGTTCAAACCTGAGTTGCTGTCTGACGTTGTAGATGTGTCTTCGGTTTGGATGGTCTTCTGGAAATTTCTCTAACACAGATGCTAATATTTTAGCAGGCTTCACTTGAGCATCACTCATTTCTTTCACAACTAGTTTCGCAGCAGGACTTAAGCCGCTCAGTTGTCGATGACCCTCTTCATATACTATCATCTCATGGTTGTGATACCCCCATTTAGAGTAACCTATCACTTCCCAACCGTCACGACTCCGTAGTTGTCGAACCTTTACTCTGAACTCACACCCACAACCTTTCCGCTTTGTGTCAAACCGAGTGGCTGTACGAAAATCTCTTTCTTCTCTTTTGCGATAACGGTCACATCTCAAAATGCGATCCATTCTACCATCCCGTTGAGATTTATGAGTTGCTACTACCAAGCAAAATCCAGCTGCAATTGCAACCTGTTTTGCCCAATCAATCGCCTGTTGAGCTTCTTCGAATGGACCATCATGTCCAAATATCTCACTGTAATCATTTCCGTCTCCACCATATTCCTGCATCAATTATATATTACAATAAATACATTTAACGGATAATACATTTAATTTCTATATTTCCACATAATTAACACAAAAAAAAACATAATTATATATAATCAAACTTAATTTTTATAAAAACCCAATTCGAATTTTCAAACTAAATTTAAAAATATACCATTTCGAATTTTCAAATTTAATTTTAAAAAAACCTATTTCGAATTTTCAAATTTAATTTACAAAAAACCCATTTCGAATTTTTTTAAAAAATCATTTTCGATTTTTTATTTTCACAAAAAAATTAAATAAAAAACAACAACAAAATCAAAAAGGAAAAAATAAAATTTAATTATTAAAGGTGGCGTCTGCCAGGGCTGCCACACCCACTGGACTGGCGCCTGGCAGGGCCGCCTCACCCAGTGGAGTGGCGTCTGCCCAGGACGCCAGTCTGGTGGTCTGGGCGTCTGGGCTGGACGCCACTCTGGTGGTCTGGGCGTCTAGCCTGGACGCCACTCTGGTGGTTCTGGCGTCCGGCTTGGACGTCCAGGCTACGGTTTGGGCGTCCACCCTAGGCGCCGTAGCCACTACGACGGTAAACCGTGAATTTTAGCGGTCACTTACCTCGTTTTCCGTCGACGACGACGTACCTCCGGCGTCCCCCGCATCTCCGGCCTGCCATCCGGTCTCCCCCGACGAGCCAATACGGCTCCACATTTTTTACACCGAGATTATCTCAATTTTAGCAAAAGGGCATAATGGTCAAATCATAACATATTTGTGGGCTTTATATGGTAATTTGTGGGCGATGTTTACTATTACCGCCTTGCTTACTAGCTTCATCTTTCTCCTTCTCAACCTTATGACCTCTCCATCTTTTTTCATACTTTCCGTCCTTTCATCATTCCATTTCGATTGTCGACTCAAATCGATCTCTTTTGTTATTCGAATTTGATGTTATGTTCGATGAATTCTGGATTTTCACTAATACTTTTCGTAGTCTCGATCTTTCTTAGCTCTTTCCCTGGTAAGTTATTGTTCATCTTGAAATTCTAATTTGATTTTGAATTTCGTCTTTGTTATCGATTATTGTAGTTTAATTTTCGTTGAAGAACTGAATTTATTCTGGGATTGCAATTTTTATTTTATTGAGATTGGATTTGTGATTGTATAAACCCTAACATTGAATCTAACTAAGATTTTGTGTTAATCTAGTTTGATTTTAAGATATTTGGCTCGAATTTGGGATATTTGAATCTCTTGAATGGTTTTCTTTGATGATTTCAACCTAAACTTCAATTAGTTTTTTGGGCAGCTGAATTTCTGGCGTTTCAATGAAATTTACTTCTATTAGCTTGTTGCTTGATCATAGAAGTCAACATGTCCATGAAAATGTAAATTGAAAGGGTAAAATATGTGATCAACGGGATGTGCATAGATGCATTATGAAGTCAACATGTCCATGAAAATGTAAATTGAAAGGGTAAAATATGTGATCAACGGGATGTCCATGAAAATGTAAATTGTTGCTTGTTGCTTTGTGTTTTTACTTGTCGATCTTTTCGCTGAAGTTGAAACTCTTGAAAGCGTTGGCGGAGGAAAAAAATTGCTTCCATTAGATGAAAGGGTGCCCATATATGATTGAATAGTATGTAATTCAGTTTTGAATGAGGAATATTAGGCTTGTAAGTTATGCATAGACTGAGTTTTGGGATGGACATCCGACCTATATGCTTATTTTGATGCCATAGAGAGGTTGCAGGACATGCAACAAGCTCAGAATAGGATATATGAGTTATTATTGGATTCTTTATGTAAACCGCTTTATAAACTTGGTGTTAGGGCAGGTCATTATGTACCAGTTTGGGTATCATATGGTATGTTTAGCTTTATGATATAAATTAACAGCTTGGTTACAATATGATATGTTTAGTGTAATCATATAGAGTTTGGTACAATTTGATAGTTTAGTTTAATGATGCAGATTAAGTAGAGAGGAGAAGAATTGTTTTGCAAGATAGGTACTGTACTGTAGTACAAGCCTGAGCAAGGGCTGTTGATACAGGTCATCTGCTTTCTAAAAATGAGCATCACAGATATTTATGTTATTTCAAAATGAAGATACACTTTTATTGAAAAATCAGAGTGGAGTAGAAGAGTATCCTTTATTGCCAAATCTATTCTTCATAGAAATCTTGTAAATTTCTACAAGTATTTTTCTCGTAAGATGTCATTGGGGGTCATTTCAATGGGTATTTTCAATGTATCAACCTTTTACAATCTATACTAATAGATCATCATAGATATACATACTCTCGTTTTGCATTGACAAATTCAGAAGTCTGAATGGTGCAACTATTTTGAAGTGGAGAAAGTACATAATATATTGTTACTTTTTGTTGCTCATACTTTGTGTTAACTCTCCTTGCACCAGGATCAATTTTTCTAAGTAGTAAGTAAATAACCAAGTTAATTTTAAAATATGTCTTGCATGATTGATTACTTCATAATCCCATATATTGATACAACTATTTGAATTTGTGCGACTCTCTACGTTTTTGTTTTGGTTTAAGATAACTCTTGAACTTGTTAGTTATTATTACATAGAATCTTTTTACCTTCATTGTCATCTAAATGGTCTTTCCACCAGGATTGTGACCAGTTTGAACTCTGTTACTTCCGTAATGGTTTGATTGTAAAGAAAATAATCAACTATTTGTGTGCAACAGTAGCTGACAAAGGGTGATTTCTGTATATCAATTTTAAGAAGATAAACCCCGTAAAGTGCCAGTGCATCATGTTTGACAAGAACATAATTTCAATATAGCCACAGCAAAAGGATCTTCAAGTTTCGGCTGTTGGTCTTCTAAGAAACATCTGCATCTTGTAAGATATACATGTGTTTCCCTGAGCTGTTAAACCACTCTCCCAGCAGTTAAACCACTGCCGGATATCTCAAAATGAGATCATGTTTCTTCCCAATCTTTGGCATGTATTCTATCTCGTCAAATCATCAAACTAACTTATTACATTTTTAACTTTACGTCTTAATCCTTTCTACTTTACCTCTCCTTAACTAGGAAGTGTAACAAAACAATTATTTTACAAGGCTTGTTGGCCAATCATTATTTAATTATTTTCTCTTTTATCAATGCCTCTTATCTTCTCAAAATCTTGATCTTCCGCATTTTCTTGATTTGTTTCAGCCCAAATTGAATTGGTCTCTTTTTCCATATTAGTGACATTCCTTTACTCAGCAGTCTGATATAGATCTATATCATGAATGATCTAGCATTTTTCTAGGCACAACCTTATTATCTTTCTTGATTTCTTTCCCATCAGTACTTGGTAATTTCAAAATATTACACACCTTCAGTATGTTTGTTCTCGTTATCAGCAATACATCATCACTTCATCCTCTCACAAGTTTGCTACAGTGTTGTATGATGTAACAAACTTTGAACATTTAACTTAAGTCTGAAAGACAAGGTAAAATTATTCATACGAAATTTAGGGAGATATGTTAATAATCACACAACTATTTTTAAGGGTTATTTTTTTTCACCACAGCTACTTTACACTAATAATTATAGATTTGTGACTTCTGCACACAAATCAACTCTCCCCCCCCCCCCCCCCCTCCTCTCCGAAAAAATGTAGATATTCAAAATATTTCTTGCACAAACCAGTTTATGATAATCTCTTTTATAGGCTTACCAAATGTTCTTCATCAAAAATAGATAGTTCATATAGGTGAATAAGGAACAAGAATTAAGAGAGACAAAGTAAACAAAAGGCAACTAGGGGGAAAATATAAGGGGGGGGGGGACATGATTGAAATTTTTAGTTGCATAATCTCAATAAGTTCTAGTGTTACTTGCATATTACAATTTTCTTAAACATTCAAGGCATTGCGCCATTAAGAATCTTTATTTCCCAAACTCTCCCCTTAAGTAATAAGCTTAACCCAATACCTTTATGTAAATATCATAAGTATGTCTACCAAATGTGAGGAAATGTTCAAGAAAAGACATACAGTAACTCTCATGGTGTGTCATATGTAAGTTAAAAGACAACATACTTTTGACCTTTTCTGTCTTTTTGTTTATTCACAGTTTAGAGCTTACTTTTAACTAAATAGGCTTCCAATCATAATGTGTACTAGTTTCTCAGCTCACACTTTATTGTTAAATTCTATATGTGGAACACCTTTTTTTTTGGTGATTTTGGTATGAGCTGCTTTGAAATATATTTATAGATCTTCTGCAATGCCATTAATTGGCCTGCCTTATTTTCTGAATTGAATGCTGTAATGTCCTTTTCCAAGACATTTATCAGCTGCAGCAGTCACTGTCCAATCAATTCAAATATACCGAACTCATGACTGGTTAAAGACACCGACAATATATTTTCATTGCAATGGAGAGAATAAAACTGTTCTTCCTGATGTGAAGAAGGCCAATACTATATATACTTTCAAAGGAGAAGAATCATGGCAGGTTATATTCTTGTCATAGTCTCTCTTATGTTTTTCTTACGTGTTCATTGATTCATATATTTTATGAACTAACCAATCTTTTACTGTTCACTCAATCAAGCTGATATGTGACATTGCCTTATGGTTATCTCCTCTTTCCCTTTTCCATGTAAAGCTTTTTCTGATTCTGACATGTAATTGGACCATATCATTTGATATAAAGGACCGGTAATGTTGTAACTTGTATTGTTAGATCATGTATAAATAAAGGTGTTCATGCTATTTCATGATAAGAAAATTGCAGACAAATTTTAAGAGCTATTTCTTGAGGCAGTAATCACAGTATAGTATAATCCAAATCCAAACCCAAACATAATAATTATTTTATTTCGTCATTAATTTTGATCACTTAATGTTGTACTGCAATTGTCTTTGCTGCTGATTTTCTCCTTGTTATAGGCTTATAGCCTCTTAATGCCCAAAAGCTTCTTATACATGCTGTAGGGAATAATGACATTGAATAAGTTTGTTAGTCCATTATAACATAAAATGATTAATTTTTTTATTCCCCTGTGGTTCTCCTAAATTGTGCAGTTCTCAAAGTTCTGATTCCTGTACTTTTTGTCTGCTATTGAAAGAAAATCAGAAAGATTAGGTTATACTAAAAATATCATTTTAGAATTTTTATGAAAGTAAAGAAGAGGAATTTTGAATCACATGCACCTGTACATTTTTGTCCTGATATGATCCCGGAGGACTCCTTTCTTGTTCATATAATGTGGTTGGTGGCTATCTCATCCTTGTTTTATTTCTGTTTTGCACTCTTGACTATCAATCATAAGACTGGCTTAAGCTGTTGTGTAATGTTCTGAATAATTGTCATCTTTGTTTTGTAGCCCTTGACAGAATTTTCAAGTAAGAAGTGCAAGAGATGTGGGTTCTATGAAAAGGACTTAATTTTTCCTGATGATAAATTTGATGAATGGATGTTTTGTCCTTCGGACTTTACAGCCGATGATGGAATATATACTCTTGTTAAAGAAGGAGAATTAAATGTGACTTTCAGTTGTTCCACATGTGTACATATGGGTGCAGGTAATTTCTTTTCAAAGTACTGTCTAAAGATAATTCAATGTAGTGCCTGTAAGTAGACTATAATATAAACTAGGAAATTTCATGACCTTCTCATCACAGAGTATTAATATTGTAGTACATAATAATTCAATGGTAGCCTTGCCGGCAATGGACGCATATCCAACTGGGAACATTTCATATAATTCTTCAAGAGAAAAATTATTTTAAAAAATGTAAAAGAAATTATTGTTACCTTTGAATTGTAAATCTGATGAACCACTCAGTGAATTGACGTAATAGGTAGTCTAGTTCATGGTTGAATATTCCTATCACATTTCATGGTGCGCAAATACTGTATCATTATGCGCAAGTTACTGAAAAGCTTAGGTTTGGAGTGCAATTTTCTCAATTTCTATTGAATTTCACATATAGGCAGTAATTTGGATTAATTTTAGGCTTCTTGATTTCTTCAGGTGAAATGCATTTATTTTGGCTGTCTTTAAAATTTGATTATGAGGATGAATTCATGTTATTATGCAATGAATGGAACTTTTTTTTTTTGGGTGTAAGAAAATTCAAATAATTCATTGTGTTCCTTGTCTAAAAGTTTATTTGTCATCTCTTCTGGTTGTAGATAATACTCTGCCTCTGGTTCAGATACTAAAGGAAACGGACTAAGTGTTGGTATTGTTATACTTATCAGTGCTGCTGTTACTGTCTTTGTCATAATTGCCTTCATCGGAGGTTATAAGTATTGGCAGAAGAAGAAGAGGCAAAATGAGCAAGCACGTTTTCTGAAGCTTTTTGAGGATCATGATGATATCGAAGATGAATTAGGTCTTAGGGATGTTATATGATAGATACCACAGAATACCAGTCTACTGCACCTGAACTACCTGTATAGATCAAAACTTTATGGTTGTGATTTCAACCTCAGAAATATATTGTGTGCTTGATGTTTTTGTAGTTTTGGCTATACTCCCCCTTTTTAAACTACTATCACCCATACTGAGGTTAAAGTACCAGATAATGTAGACTACTTGGACACCTGCCCATTTGTCTAGAAATTTGTTTGGGTTTTTGAAGTTCTCAGGCCAAGAGGTCCAGCACCCTCGAAGTGGTCTGATTCCGTACTCCTGAATTCTTTGGATACAGATCTCTGATTTATTTTGTTCTTTAAGAACAAATAACATGGAAATTTAGGATCAAAGAATGGGACGACGATATATGAAAGAAATTGGTAAATTACAAAGTTACAATTAGATTTTTACTATTGACCGAGCCAAACTATCAATCTGGAAAAAGTGAAAATAAATTGGAAATACTTTATGCCACTCCCTAATCATCTCCTTTTATCCTTGCTCCCAAACATCAGGGCGACATAAAAGAGAAATCTAAAGAAGAAACCCCAAGCAATAGTGATGCACAGGCAACTCAGTCTACTCAAATCTGTAATCCCCTGCTGCCGGAGTATGTCCTCACCTGTAGTAACACAGCTAGTGCTCGTAAGGTTCCTCCCCAACACGTCACCCATACTCGTCAACAACCTTGTTTTGAGAATATCTGGAACAGCCTGAAGAGGGGTGTTGTCAAACATTTGAATCCCTCTGACGAAGCACTTTGTAGGGTCACTGAACTCGTTCTGAAGGACACCTTCGTATGGGTACTTAACCAGCGAGATGTAATGAAACCATAGCCAGTAAGAGGGGATACGGTCATGTGATATGAAGAAGCCGCTGAAAAGGAGGAAGTAGGCAAGGATAGCCACAACGACAGTGAAGCCAAGCATGACATGAGTCACCACCCCAGAGAGGAAGGTAACAAAGGAATGACCTGCCCAGAAAGATGCCAAAATGAAGGCAAAGTAGTACAGGAAGCCCTGGAGACCACCTGCAAGGCCTACTGGCCAGAAGGTAATGGCTGCAAAAGTAAGAGATAACACGATTAGGGATGGAATTGAAATGAGAGCATGGCTGAGGACATAGGAAGACCGGCGATATGCATTGTAGGCAGTCTCTCGCATGAAAATGTATCTCTCCTGCAGGAAAACTGGGATTGCCTCAGCGCAGGTGTAGAATGTTGTTGACATGGCGAAAGCAAAGAAGCCAAGTCTCTCTTGAGCGCCCTTTGGGGATTGGTCAAGATGCAAGAAAATGGTGGCCAAGATTGAACCTGTCACCACAATTGCTCCTAAACGAATGCCAAATAACTCAGGCATCCTCCTTGAGTTTAACATTGACCTTCTCCCGATAACATATACTTCAAGCCAGAAAGGATTTGCGTACTTTGGAACTGAGGTTGGGTTGGAATCATCATTGGCTGCACCTGAAACCAGTTTTCCTTTCGATATGCTAGCACTAATTGCACCATTAAGAGACATCTTAGGCTGTCGATGAGAAGGGAAGTTATTATTCCTCCTCTGCTGCTGCCAGGATTTGTTGAAGTCGACCATTGCTTGGGTCCCATCAGGTGATTCCTCGAGTTCTTGTATGTGGTCCAAGGCGAATTCAGTCCTATTTTCACCCTCTGGGATCGGGCACCCAAACTCTGAGTAGAACAAAGGTAGCTCTGATGAGGTACCAGTGAAAACGGTTTGTCCACGGGAGAGAAAGATGAGCCGATCCAAAAGGTTGAGAATACGAGAACTAGGCTGATGAATTGTCATGACAACGATGCTTCCACTCTGAGCGATCCTTTGGAGAACTTTTACCACCATAAAGGCACTGGTAGAGTCAAGCCCTGAGGTTGGCTCGTCCAGGAACAAAATGATGGGATCATGGATGATGTCGATACCTATCGAAACCCTTCTCCTTTCCCCTCCAGAAACTCCTCGGTGGCCCTCATCTCCAATGACAGTATTAGCAGCACCCCTTAGGCCTAGTTGGTCTATGAGCGCTTCAACTCTAGCCTTCTTTTTTGACTTTGAAAGAGATCTGGGAAGTCTAAATTCAGCTGAAAACATCAGGGTCTCTTCTACTGTTAACATTGGAAAGAGAAGGTCATCTTGCATAACATATGCCGAGATCACTTTCAATAGCTTCGACTCTAACACCTCATCATTCAAATGAACCGACCCCTTTATACTCTCCTTTGATATCCTATTAGCTAACGCGTCAATCAATGTTGATTTACCTGACCCGCTTGCTCCTAACACCGCCATGATCTCCCCCTCTTTCGCCTCTCCAGAAATGTCATTCAACAGCACCTTATGGTCTAACCCGTTTAACTTTTTGCTAACCTTCACACTATACGTAAGATTGTGAAATGAAAGCACAAAAGGGTATGGAATCGTAGGCTTAAAAGCTGCATCAGCAAGCTCTACAACATGATGCGGTGGCTTATCTTCGCCACCAGAATCATCTTTGTAAACCCACTTAAGGAGCTCACCAAGGGTCGGTTGATATGCTAGGCTTAATTCTTTGAGAATACTCTTTGTGATTGTTAATGGAATCCTTCAGATTCACATATGGAATCCTAGGGACCTCGCTTTCATCATTGCCATTTCCTATAGGAGACATGACAAAAGCTTCCTTAGTTTACCCTACTGTGTTTGTATGTGTTTCGGGTGCTCAGTTCATCGAAAAGTACAGAAATGAAAGGCTATATAGACTCGGTCTTTCGAAGGCGAAGTGGATTGTGGGTTATAATGTTTTATGCCTGAAAGAAAGGACTTCATAATACGGAAGTTTTTATATATAAGAGGTGTTATTAATTTCAGGATTGTGTGTTGAAAGTATGTTGGGTGGTTGTTTTTTAGTTGTTTGGTGGAGCAAATTAAGAACTAACTTATGATATATTATATCTCATCTAAACTTGAATTATTAGGTAAGAGGCGTTGCAGCTGATTTAAGTAGAATTATAATTTAAAAATAAGAAAGCAATTATACTAGTAATGGATTTATCTTCTGGTGAAGTTCACGGGTAATGAATGTTATCAATTGCAAGAATATTTCATTCGTTAAACAAAAGTTTTCTTATTTTATGCATGCAACTAGCCAGTATTGCTGCTGTTTTCTAGTTGTTCATGTGATTGTACAAGCATTTTTTTTATATACTACTATGTTTTAGTGTTTTACTATGTTCTTTAGCAGTTGTTTTGGATCATAAGAAGTTAAGAACCAAGGATTGGACTATTAGAGACTTGGAGTACTCACTTTGCTCATCATTTGTAAAGTAGTTATATATTTGTCCGATCAAATGACAAAGCGCTATCTATGTTGTACATTAAAAAGTGTTTGTAAACAAGTTCATACACCACGTAATACTTTCTTTCCTTCGTAAGTTATCATTTCATTTCATTATACTTTGTATATTAAAAAGATTGAAATGTATGTAATTTGTATACAATTGGAATCCTTAATCTCAAGGTCTAAGCTTAGAAACTTAACTAATGAACTATGTCATATTACATGTATTTCATTCCAAAACAATATTAACACATGACAATATAATAAACAAAAATTAATAAGTGCGATTAAGTCATGAATTTCATAAACAGTTATTGTTAAATGTTTCGTATGTAATAATTCGGGGTGTCATCCATGCCTAAAAACTGTTAAATGTTAATTGTAGATATTAATGGTTTAACTAAACTTTGTACTGATACATACATTTATTTGATTTACTTAATATGACTGTTGATATGGAGTTTTTATTAACACAAAGTATTGGGTGAGGCAACATAACTTCTTGAGATACGAACGGGTGCTGAAAAAGTCCCCGGAATAGGGTGTTTGTCCTTGTCTAGGGTTTGGCGGCGATTTTTTATCGTTTTCCACTCAATTTTCAACCTTTTTCCACCAAATTTAATCTATTAATCTCAATCTTAGCCATGGCTGATGATCTCATTAAGGATTGGGAGATATTACAACTTACGACTGATGAAAATACTATTATTGGAGCGAATTCAGAGAACACGGATGACGATTTTTCGGAAGAACAAATTTGAGTAGCACAATATAGTGATGTGAATACTGTAAAATTAGGCCCTGTTGGGGCAGCAAGAAGATTGATGTTTGCTTCCTCAAAATCACCGAATAGTGAGATCTTGCCAAAGACAAGAGAAGCCAAATTGATAATGGTGACTGATTAACGCTCTAACAAGGTTGTTTTAAGACCTCGTGGGGTGTGTGGGATGGGAAGTTCTGATGATGAGTTGAGGGAGGAGGGAAAACAGGACGTGTGGCGAACAAGTAAAGGGACTATCGTGAGGGGGGATAGGGCTGATGAGGGTGAGAAGGAGGGGGAGGGGGAGGAAAAAGCAAAACACCTTTCAACCACTTATGATGATGTGGACATGATGGAGGAAGATTATGGAGATCAAGGTAGTCACGCAAGGCAGGGGGTTGAGAAAAAAGGGCGCCAGCTTTGAAAAGTCCATATAATTAGCTTTAGTAACCGTTCTGCTTACAATGATTTACCTCTCCAATCGATTGGGGGTAAGAGGAAGAAAGGGACTGATATTGAGAAAGAAGTGGATGGTGATATGATTGATAGCAGTAAGAGAATTAAGGTAGCTAAGAATGCATTGGGTGTTGGAAACTTATTGAAAGTAGCGGAGGTTGGTGCACCCCAACCCCACGAACAACAATGAAAACGTTAAGCTGGAACTGTCGAGGATTGGGCAATACTCGGAGAGTTACTGCCCTCTGATCTTGATGTTGGAGGGACCGCCCAAAACTCGTCTTTGTCATGAAGACGATGATTGATTATTGTAGACTTGAGTTATTACTCAATAATTGTGGTTTCACATAGGGCCTATGCTTAAGCAGTAATGGGAATTCAGGAGGTATGGGATTGTGGTAGAGAGTTCTTAATGTACGTGTGGTTTCTTATTCAACCCATCATATAGCGGTGGAGGTGTGTGACAGCGCAAATGTTGCTAAATGGGCGGCTGTGGGGATTTATGTTTGGCCAGAAACTAACAATAAACATCTTACTTTCAAATTGTTGAAGTCCTTAAAAGAGACCATCGACTTGCTGATTTTATTCTTTGGAGATGCTAACGAAATTCTTTATGACAATGAGAATTCTAGAGGG